TTAATAATTCTGCTTTATTTAAAGTTTAAAGTGTTTGTTTTTAGAAAATATGGTTTTAGAAATAAGATTTGTTTCTTTTGAAATAGTAAGGGGCTGGTTTGTGGCACAGTGGATTAAGCTGCCTATTGGGATGCCTGCATTCTACACTGAAATAGAGGTTTGAGTCCTGGCTACTAAGTTTCTGATCCAACTTCCCTTCAATGGATCTAGGAATCAGGGGATGATGACTCAAGTACTCGCGTTCTCACTGCCCAGGTGGGAGACCCAGATGGATTTCCAGGCCCCTGGCTTGACCTGAGCTAGCCCTGGCTGTTGCAACCTTCTGGGGAGTAAACCAGCAGCAGATCTCTCCCTCTCTCTCTCTCTGTCTCTGACATTCTTCCTTCCAAATAAATACATGATTAAAAAAATAGAATTGTACTATGCTAGCACCATGATTTTCTTAACATTAAGAAGCAAAAATAATATTCTTTCTTTATAAATCCCTTGCTGGCACTGAAAATGGTCTTAAAGTAGTTTTCAGTGAGAGATGGAGAAAGTTGAACTTTAATTTTCTCAACTGTAAATTTTTTACTAAGCAATGGAAACTTCGATCAGAAGTATCACGGATGGTAAAAGTTAGAATAACGCAACTTAGTAGTTAAAAGGATAAAATGCTGTGGAGTCAAGGCCTGTGATTTAAAGCAACCACTTGGGGGCAGTCATTTAGCCTAGCAGTTAACAAACTGGGTATCTATATCCAGCTCTGGCTCCTGACATCTGATGAATATCCTGGGAGGCAGCGGTAACAGCTCAAGCAATTGAATTGCTGCCACAAACATTGGAGAACTGAGTTGTGTCCCCAGCTCCTGACTACAGCCTTGCTGAGCACTGCCTAGGTATTTGGGAGGGGAACCACCACATGGGAGTTTTCTCTCTCTCTCTCTCTCCCCGCTCTTTCCCTCTCAAATTTAAAAATTTTTTTGAAAACACTAGTTGGCAATTTTGTAAATTTAGGTCAATTGCTTATCATCTCTGTGCCTCAATTTCTCTAACAGGAGAATATAAAGATACTTCTCCTGGAAGATTGGTCACTAAATGAGTTCAGTTATGTCGAATTCTCAACAGGATGCCTGATGCATATTATAAGTTGAGAATTGTTAGCTCTTATATTGTTCCTAAATGATGTAGGTAAATACAGCCATCACATCACAGGTGTTGGACAAGCCCAGGCTGCCACTGCTTCTGATACAGCAGTGTATCTGGATCAACCCAAGCCTGGGACAAGCCAGGCTGCCTGGCTGGGTGATTGGCTGCTTTGTGACTTGCTGAATTCAGCTTTTCCATACCTCTCTTTCCTTATTTGACAGTGAGAGTTTAGACTGTCGCTCCCCCTCTTCATGGAGGAGCAACACTAAACCCTGTCTAGGCTTCATATCCGAGTCACGGCACCATTATGTCGCTCCCCCTCTTCGTGGAGGAACGACACAGGACCCTGCGCTGTTCTTTCGTCTGCTCGGCCCTCCCCGGGTTTGCTGCTGGTTCTTCCCGGGTTGGCTACTATCCCTTCCACCTCCGTGGAAGGGCAGTTCCCCCTGGCCACATTCCCCACTTCCGCAGGGGAGCGGCACACCACCGGCCGGCTCTCTCGGGGGCTGCACGGGTTCCCTTAGATGTTCCCCATAGATGTTCCTGGTGCATGCCGTCTCTCTCCTCCTTTATAGTCCTCCTCCGCCAATCCCAACTCGGCTGCCCATACGCCGAGTACGCTGCTCTCCAATCAGGAGCAAGTCCTACAGTTAATTGGTTGAACTGGAGGCAGCTGTGCGGAAGCTGTTTACTTCTCTCCCAGCGCCATATTGTGGGAGAGCAGATGCATAGAATAAGTCTTAATTCCAGTAACAGTCTAGTCCGGTTTGCTCCCCACATAGACAAACGAATTTTTTAATTTCTTTTGTTTGTTTAAGCTTTTTAAGGAATTTATTGACTGATTAGGTTAAATGTGTGATAATTACAACACAATTCTCATCAAGTCTCATGTTAATGTGATATTAATACAAAGAGAACAGACTCAATGAAGCTCATAGGTAACAATTCTAAGAATATAATGATACTTTATTTCCTCCCTCCCTTTCTTTCTTTCTCTTCAGTTTTTGAGACAACATATTTTAGTTTACATTATAGTCAAATGTTTCATACTTGACTAAATAAAGTGTTCAACAACTAAAAAGTAAAAAGACCACTGTTTAGCAGGAGTATAGGCAGGGGCTTTAAACAATAATCAAATTAAAAGTTGTAGATTACACTCATATACAGTAAATTTCAAAACAATCACAGATTAGTAAAACTATAGTTGTATATCATTCTTAACCATTTGTTTAACAAAGGCATAAAACAAAAAAGTTTAGCAAAGCTATATTTACAGCAATACTGATAGACAAAGACATTTCTTTCTGGTTTTGTTTTGGTTTGGGTTTTTTTTTTTTCTCTTTTTTAATTTTAGCTCCCACATAAAATGGAGAACATGAGATATTTGTCTTTCCTGTCTGGCTTATTTCAATCAATATGATGTTCTCCAGTTGATTTCTTTTTAAAAATTTCTAACTTATTGATTTTCATTTTGTTTAAAAGAGAGAAAGAGGCAAAAAGATGTAGACCTTCCATCTGTGGTTCACTCCTAAATGTCCACAACAGCCAGGGATGCATCAGGGCTAAAACAGGAGCCAGGAACTTAAATGGATGACAGGGACCAAAGTACTTGAGCCATCACTGGCTGCCTCCAAGGATGCACCAGCAGGAAGGCTATGCTAAACACTCATGCCTAGACAAGGGCATTTCATTTCTATTGTTCTAATCCAATCCTAATAATCACTCATTCAATATTATTTTGAGAATAGGCCCGTGATATCAAATAGGAAGATATAGATTCACAAATTAAAGTAGTTCTCAAAAGATAGAACAAGGAGCTTACGGGAATTTATTGTGAGAAATTAATTTAATAACATTTTCTAGTATAAGAACAGATTATGATATAATTGAAAGAGTTCTCTGCTCCTCTTCCAATCCAGCTCTCTGCTATGGACTGGGAAAGCAGTGGAGGATGGCCCAAGTGCTTGGGCCCCTGCACCCGTGTGGGAGACCCAGAAGAAGCTCCTGGCTCCTGGCTTCAGATTGGCACAGCTCCAGCCATCGTGGCCAATTGGGGAGTGAACCAGTGGATGGAAGACCTCTCTCTCTCTCTCTCTCTGCCTCTCCTTCTCTCTGTGTGTAACTCTGACTTTCAAATAAATAAAATAAATCTTAAGAAAAAAAAAAAGGAAAGTAAACCTAACTTTGCTAATAGTGTAGTGGTATGCCACAAGTATACCAAAAACCAAAATCAAAACAGAGAAAAGGAAGAGCTGGTGAGAACATGGAGCAGCAAGAGTTTTCTATGAATGCTGAGGAGTGGATAAATAAGCAGTTACAGCCACTTTGGAAAGCTGTTTAGCAGTGTTAACTCAACTTGATCATACACATACCTAATAATTCAGCAGTTTTCACTCCTATGCTTATACCCAAAATAAATGCACACACATGCATACCAAATGACAATATCAATTATATTCACTGTAGTATTATGGATAATTGTTCCAAACTGTAAACAACCAAAATGCTCATCCACAATAAAATATTAAAATGAATAGACATACATAGTAATATTACTCAGCAATGAAAATGAAAAGTCTGAGCAATACATAAAAAAATAATACCTTGAGTGGAAGTAGATACCATGTGTTCAAGTTCCATTTCTGTGAACTTAAAACTGACAAAAATGTATTCACAGTGTGTAAGTTCCAAGAGTGGTTACTCCTAGGGAAAAGGAGCCACGGGGCCCACGCTGTGGCATAGTTGGTAAAGCCACCGCCTACATCACTGGCATCCCCTATGGGCATCAGTTAAAGCCCAGGCTGCTCCACTTCGAATTCAGCTCCTTGTTAATGTGCCTGGGAAAGCAGTGAAAGACGACTCAGCTCGTTGAGATCCTGCACCCACATGGGAGACTCGAATGAAGCTCCTGGCTCCAGGCTTCAACCTGGCCCAGCCAGGGCTGTTGCTGCCATTTGGGGAGTAACTAGCAGCTGGAAGATCTCTCTGTGTGTCTCTTCCTCTCTCTTTTTCTGTAACTCTGCCTTTCAAATAAATGAATAAATCTTTTTCAAAAAAATAATGGTTTTGGCCGGCGCCGCGGCTCACTAGGCTAATCCTCCACCTTGCAGCACCGGCACACCGGGTTCTGGTCCCGGTCGGGGCGCCAGATTCTGTCCCGGTTGCCCCTCTTCCAGGCCAGCTCTCTGCTGTGGCCAGGGAGTGCAGTGGAGGATGGCCCAAGTCCTTGGGCCCTGCACCCCATGGGAGACCGGGAGAAGCACTTGGCTCCTGTCATCGCATTAGCGCGATGCGCCAGCTGTAGCGTGCCGGCCGCGGCGGCCATTGGAGGTTGAACCCACGGCAAAAGGGAAGACCTTTCTCTCTGTCTCTCTCTCTCTCACTGTCTACTCTGCCTGTCAAAAAAAAAAAAAATGTAATAATGGTTTGAGAGTTTACCGGTATCTCTAGCTGGGCTAGCTGATCTCCCATCAGGGATGGGAAATATTTAAAAAAAAAGAGGAAAGGGGGCTTTCCATTTCTCAAATATTTTTTTTTAAAGATAAGTTTATTTTGGTGCAAAAAATTGTAGTCCATGGGTAGTTTTTTTTTAATAATACAAATTTTCCATGAACTTATACTCTTAGAGTTCAAAATTTTGTACCAAAATAAGAATTTTTAAATTCCATTTTCCATGAACTTTTTGGGAGCCTTCATATGTCCCAGGACTGATCTAGTAAATAGCAGACTGATTAGTTCCGTGGACTATATGGACTGGGCATGAAACAGTGGGCCACGGGAAAAACCATGACTTTACTGCCATCACTCCATCATTTACTACCTGTAGAACTAATATACTCAATCTTTCTGATATTGTTTTCTTATTTCTAAAGGAGAAAATTGGAGTTCCCGTTGGTGTTCTTTCCGGATCTCCTTTATGTCGCATCTGAGCACCATCCCCCGTGCTGTATCCACTGGAATGACCCTCTTCACAGAACTACCTGCAGTCTTGACAAAACCAAACGAACGAAAAGCCTCCAGCTTTCCTCAGAGATCTTAGCCAACGTCTTATAAGGATAGAAAGGGCCAGCTCCTTGTGTCAGAGGAATCCAGCTGTGGGGTGCTGTTCCTGCACAGCACTTTTCTGTGCGATTAGACAGAAGCTGATGACCAGTAGAGACGACTTCCCTGCTGAGTTTCTATTTCCTGTCTTGCTCTGCTTCCTTATGCACCCCCTTCTCCCTGGAGATACTCCCTCAGTAATCATTGGAAAATAACTTCCATTTCAGGCTTTACTTCTAGTTAGCTGAAGACAAAACTCCATCTAATATGAGAAAAAAAGGGACAAATATATACATATATGAAACATTTTATGAACTGCAGACTACTACAAAATTTTTAAATATGTAAAATTATAAAGCAAGTAAAGAGATCAGTGTTTTTATTCCTTTCTCCTAAAACTACCACCTTTTGGGAACTTGACTACTTGTCCCTTCTTTCTCAAATGTCAACATAAGAAACTAACAAATGCAGTCAGCCCTACTTATCTTTGGGTTCTCCATCCACAAATTCAACTAAACTCATTCAAAAATATCCAGGAAATATTGTGTCTGTATGAATATGTATAAACTTTTGTGTGCTGTTCTCCTAAACAATGTAGTATTACAATTTTCATGAAATTTACATTGTACTAAGTATTATAAATAATAGAGAAACGATTGAAAGTACACAGGAAGAAATGTGTCAATTACAGTACTATGTATTATGTAGATTATCAATACTGTGCCATTTTTTGTAAGGGGCATGAGCGTCTGCAAATTTTAGTATCCACTAGGAGTCCTGGAACCAATCCTACAATGATATGGAGGGATGACTGTACGTTTATAACTGGGTTACTAGGCCAGTGAGCCAAAGTCTTGTGGCCTTGAGATCATGAGTCATACAAGAGTCTGAAAAGAAAACACAGTGAATGTGATTAGACTGCCTTGGTTGTAGTGGCTTAGTCTGGGTGAATATATTTCACTAACTTAGAGGTATTTGATGCTTTTTTTCCTTGAGTACCTCCAAAATAACTTTAATTATATTTTAGTTGTAAAGTTTTGAATTGAGAGTTTATTAAACATAATTGCTAATTTCCAGCATATTGTATATTGCACTTGCAGGTTAACTATTTTTAATCAAAATATTAGCATGGCAAATTTAATTTAGAGAAAATGTCTGCCAAAAAGCTTAGTTGGAAAAGCCAATTTTTGATTCTGAAACCGATAATCTAAAGTTGACTTTTCTATAGAAAAATAAACCACTGATTTTGCCTTTAAATTCCAAAAAAAAAAAAAACCCACACATGTAAATACATGTCTACTATTCTGAATTCTGACACACACAAGGAACTCATGGTTCTCGGGAGGCAGATACAGTCACAGGAGGCTAGGCATCAGTCTGTGACTAGACAAGAAAAGACACTTTCCATTCCACTGCTTTGCTTGATGCCTTCCTGCATTTAGCGTCTTGTGACACTCCCTCAGCATCAGGTCTCAAATAGTCCGTGTTGGGACTCTGAAGGTTTTCACACCCTGTGCCATCCTGCTTTCTGGTGAGTAAGGGGAAGGCAGAGGGCTCTGAGAATAGAACAGCAGGATTGGAGAAGTCACAGGTCATACGCAACCCTGACATGTCCGCTTTAAGCAAAATTCTGAACTTTAAGTGTTGTGCTCTGGGTGCCATCTGGAAGGCCTTCTTTTTTTTCCTAGGGCTGTGCCTATCACCACTGCAGCTCTGTGTCACCCTCGTTCAGCCAGGACTCCGGGACTCAGTAAGGCACCCCTACGCCAGCCTCCCAGGCAGAGTCCACAGAGAATATTTGGTACTCTTAGTTTCCTCTAACATTGGAGACCTTCTTTTTAAAAGCAGTTTCAGGTTCATGGCAAAATTGAGAGGAAGGTATAGAGATTTCCCATAGGCTTCTTGCCTCTACACATGCATAACCACCCCATTATCAATATTCCCCACCAAGGCCGGCGCCGCGGCTCACTAGGCTAATCCTCTGCCTTGCGGCGCCGGCACACTGGGTTCTAGTCCCGGTTGGGGTGCCGGATTCTGTCCCTGTTGCCCCTCTTCCAGGTCAGCTCTCTGCTATGGCCTGGGAAGGCAGTGGAGGATGGCCCAAGTGCTCGGGCCCTTCACCCCATGGGAGACCAGGAGAAGCACCTGGCTCCTGCCATCGGATCAGCAAGGTGCGCTGGCCGCAGCACGTCGGCTGCGGTGGCCATTGGAGGGTGAACCAATGGCAAAGGAAGACCTTTCTCTCTGTCTCTCTCTCTCTCACTGTTCACTCTGCCTGTCAAAAAAAAAAAAAATTTCCCCACCAAGATGGTACTTTTGTTATAACTGATGAACCTACATTGAAATGTCATCATCACCCAAAGTACAGTCGTGCTTTACAATAGAGATCACTCTTGATGTTGCGTATTCTAGGGATTTGAAAATGTATAATGACACATATCATTAGGATATAGTATTTTTATTTTAGGATTTTCATTGCCCTAAAAATTCTGTGCTCTACATTTTAATCCCTCCCCTGCCCCTTAACTCCTGCAAGCCACTCATATTTTATAGTTTCCATACTCTAACCTCTTCTAGAACATTGTATAGTCGGGATCATACAGTCCATAGCGTCTCTCACTACATAATGTTTCTTCGTGTCTTTTCATGGTTTGAGAGCCATTTCTTTTTAAAGCTAAGTAATATTTCATTGTCTGGATATACTATAGTTTATTTATTCATTCGCTTACTGAAGGGCTCCTTGGTTTCTTCCAAATTTTGGCAGTTGCAAATAAATCCTCTTTATTACTTACCATATTTTGGTGGCCTATGACAGAAATTCAACCTAACTTTGGTATAAAGTATTTATGAACCCCAAGGGCCGTCATTTGGCTGTGCCTGAGGAACATAAATGGTGAAGGAATGGGGTCATCTGACCATGAAACCACATCTTACCAGTTCCTGGGGTGGTAAGTGCATTGTGAAGGACGCAGAAGAAGAGTTTGAAGTGACATGAGAAGTAATACAGTATTTTCATTGCATCCCTTCAGCACATGATCTGGTCATTTTTCTTGCACCATCAGCCTTCTAATCCAAGTGGTTTGCTATGTCACCAGCAGACACTCCCAGTGCTCTCACCCACAGCCTCTCTGACCTTCCCCTTTGCATGCACAGCAGTCCTGTTTGCTTTCACTTGCATCTCAGAACAATGTTCTTAGGTCTCCGGGGCCTTTGCCTGCATGTGGGGAGAGTTGGAAGTGCCTAGTAATTCACATCTCCAGAAGTAGTCTTCACCAGTGACTTATGGGGTTATACAAGGGTATTTCAAAAAGTTTCTGGAAAATGGAATTTTAATTTGGTGAGACATTCTTAAAAATGCATGGTCTTTTCATAATATGCCTTTGCCATGAACATTTTAAGACTTCAGGTGCCTGGTCCATAATGGGAACAGTTCTGAGGTGACTTGTGTCTCCAGATACCCTTCATGTGATTGAGCCAAAGTCCCCATGTTTGTGGATCTTTCCTGGACATCTCCCACTTGATTGGCTTCCTGCCCTTCCCTGTCACTTTGCCTACTTCCCTACTTGTTTCTCCTTGAAATGTTCTTTAATAAATTATAGGAGTCTTTATCTCAGGATTTACATATGGAAATCCAACCTTGGATACCTGACTATCCATTTTGATTATCTACATAGTAGGTATATTTAGCAGAATAGAAATTTTCCATTCAGGCCATGAGTGAGGAAAGTAAAATAAAATTTGACCCTGAGAATTAAGTCAAGAAATTTTATATTTTAAGGTATATGTATTAGGGTATGTGTGTGTGTGCATGTACATATGAGATAAACAAAAAAGTCAGAGATGGTTATATTAAAAAGACATTCGTTCATGCTATTTAGCACAACTTATGAACTTGAATTAAAAAAAAAGAAAAATAGGGGCTGGTGCTGTGGCGCAGGAGGTTAAAGCCCTGGCCTGAAGCACCAGCATCCCATATGGGTGCCAGTTCTAATCCCATATGGGCACCGGTTCTTGTCCTGGCTGTTCCTCTTCCAATCCAGCTCTCTGCTATGGCCTGGGAAAGCAGTAGAGGATGGCCCAAGTCCTTGGGCTCCTGTACCCACTTGGAAGACCCAGAAGAAACTCCTGGCTCCTGGCTTCAGATCAGTGCAGCTCCGGCCATTGCGACCATCTGGGGAGTGAACCAGCGGATGGAAGACCTCTCTCTCTGTCTCTACCTCTCTCTGTAACACTTTCAAATAAATAAAATAAATCTTAAAAAAAAAAAAAGAAAAAACACTGTAGGTATCAGTTAAGGTTGAAAACAGAACAAATGTGAGTGTGTGCATGTGTGTATGCACTTTAAAAGATTTGTGGGGGAGGGGGATAAAGATAGCACCCTGAGATGAGATTCGGGAGGTAAACAGTTGTCATCAGCCTCACTAGAAATCCTGTTCTTTTTGAATGGGTGATATTATGCTACCTATTTGCTGCCAGAATTCTTCTTATTCCTATATGAAAGTCTCCTGCTACCATATCCAACAGTCAGTCTAGCACTGGATGTGGTGATGTGGTGATGCTTCTCCTTTGTCTTGGAATTGAAGTGATTCAGCTGTTTTTGTTACAAGGGGAATCCTCTGCCAATGAAAGAGCACTTGGTGTTATTGGGCCTTGGCCTTCCTATCTACTATGACGGCCTCTCATTGCCTCCTGCTACCCCACCTTCATGCTTCTCTTGAAAGCCATCATGAATGGCATCTTGCTCTTCCTGTGTGGCTCAGAGCTGCTGCCTGATCTGCTTGTCCTGGCTACTCTCTGCACTGTGGACAGGATTTCAAGTACACAAATTTCAGCCGGCAGCCCAGCAAGCTGACACCACGTGTGATTCTGGGGCTTTAGCTACACCAGGGAGAAGTGGTGAGTCATATGGTCCTGGAAAAGATCTTACAGGTTTTCTTCAGTACAGAGATTTGGGCAACTGTCCCAGCATAAGGCCAGTGGGCACCGTAGTCTGCACCAGGGCCATCAGCCCAGGAGAGTCTTAAATGCTACAATTTAGGGAGTGACAAGGACAGCACCATCCTGGCCTTTCTCAGAACAGCACACTGCGGACTTCAAGTTCTCTTTGATCATCATGCCCAGAGCATCGTATATGGACCATTGTAGGCTCCTTCCAGAAGGACCCGAGCTGCATGCCTCCTGTGTGTGCTGTGCCCCATGCTGATGGATTTGCAGAGTGATGCAGAGCCTCTGACCCTGTTCCTCCTGAACTGTTTTAAGTAGTTCACAGTGCCATTTGTCTATGCTGATCATGAAACAAACATGATTTTACATGAAATATGTCTTTTCTGTGGTGGGAAAATCAAAGATGTAAGGAATGGGCTTACAAGATAGTGGAAGCTAGTATGTCTAACATAAGTGGGGCAAGGTGGGGCAAGGCCAGCTGACTGGAATCCCAGGCAGGAATTGCGGCTGTAGGCTTGAAGCAGAATTTCTTTCCCCTTTGCAGACTTCGGCTTTTGCTGTTAAGGTTGTCAACTGATTCAGTGAGGCTGATTCATACTACTATTATGATTTATTTTTGCTCTGTTTCTTAAAATTTTAATTAACACATAGTAATTGAACATACTACTGAGATTCAAAGCATTTTTTTTTAAATATTTATTTACTAATTTACTCATTGCACACACGCACACACACACAAAGAGGGAGAGAGAGAGATTGAGAGAGTGATTTTCCATCCACTGGTTCACTCCCCAAATGGCCACAACAGCTGCTGATAAGCCAGGAGCCAGGAACTCCATCTGGGTTTCCCATGTGGGTGGCAGGGGCCTAAGTGCATGGAGCATCTTTAACTGCCTTCCCAGGCACATCAGCAAGGGGGTGGCTTGGAAACAGAGCAGCTGGGACTAGAAATGGCCCTTATGTGGGATGCTGAAGTTGTAAGCAGGGATTTAAACTGCTTTTCCACAATGCTGGCTCCACACTGTAATGTCTTAACGCAATGCACACCTATTGAATAGGGGTAATCAGCACTTACAAATACTTATCATTTCTTTGTTTGGAGACTTTGAGCTCCTCTCTTCTGCAAATATATATTGGGTTATTGTGAAATATAAATATCCCACTGTGCTGTACAGCACTAGAACTTATTACTCCTATCTAACTGCATTTTGGTACTGTGATCCAACCTCCCTCTTTGCCCTTCCTCTCTACCCTGCCTAGCTTCTAAGAATCACTAAACTGCTCTCTTCTGGTTTGGATCAGCATTTCTAGCGTTCATGTATGACATAGAACATCTGATGCTTGTTTTTCTGTGACTGACAATTCCTGTATCATGCCTTCCAGTTCCAACCATTTTGCAACAAGTAAGAATTTTATTCCCTTTTTTATCTTTTGATTTTTTAGAAAAGATTTATTTATTTATTTGAAAGCCAGAGAGAGAGAGAGAGAGAGAGAATCTTCCAGCTGCTGGTTCACTCTGCAGATGGCTACGATGGCTGTGGC